TGCGCACGTAAAAAATCCCTTGTCAGTTCGAAATCGAAAAAAAGTAGTAGACGGCGCTTTCCGGGCAAAATTTGGAGTTTAAAAACTACCCTAAGAAGTTCAGATCTTCGCCGGTGCTACGAAGTTCGTGCACTGTGCTGAGATTCTTCGGACTCATTTTTGAGTCAGAAGTAGAAGGAAGCTTCATGGATTACTATCCTTGCGCAATGATGTTGATTCGTTGTTCAAACCAACTGTTGACAGAGTTAAATCTGGCTGGGGTTTTGGTAGTAAAGAGAACCATAGTGCCTGAGTTAAGTTTTTCTGAGGTTTATGATGGTAAAGAGAACCGTTTTGTAAGAGCTATATTTGCCTGGTATTATAACTATCTCTTGTCAGAGTTAACTCTGCCTGGAGTTTATGATGGTAAAAAGAAATGTTGTGTCAGCGGTATTTTTAACGGGTCTTTAAAAAAAAACGTTGCGGAAAATCTAAATAAAGACAACTGACTTTGTTTCACTAGTAAATGGAAGCATTGTAGCAGAGCTAAACTTTACTGGCATTTCTTAGAGTTAAAGAAAATATAGCAGAGCTAAATAACGAAGTTTGACTTGAATTTCTTGAGTAACGGGAAGCATTGCATCTTTTACTCTTTTAGACCCAACCAACACACCATGTGCCCATGTGTACCAATCAGTCAACAATAGGATCTGATGTTTAGCCTAAACCTACTACAAAAACCTGGTTAGATATTTCAATGCCCCAACCAGCTAGGCATATGTGTTGCATATGTGTAATCAAACTATTAGAAAAATTAAACATTGATGGGAAAGATCTACGAATAATAAAGCATATGTATTAGCAGCAAACAGCATCTATAAGAATTAACAACTGTTTAGGTATATTTTAAAGCATAAAGAGGGGCGTACGACAAGGATGCTGTCACCTGATTTGTTTTTAATATACAGTGAATATATAATGAGATCTTTCATTGATATGCCCGGAATTGTGGTTGGTAGGCACAATATAAACAATTTACGTTATGCTGATGACACAGTCTTGGTAGCAGCAAGTCAGAAATAACTACAGGAAATGATAGACATTGTGGTGTTAGAAAGTGGAAGAATGGGCCTCAGTTTGAATAATGGAAAGACAGAAGTAATGGTGGTATCAAAGAAACGAATTATTCCTAAATGTGTAAAAAAAAAGTCGATGGTGTTATTTTAGGACAAGTACAGAAATTTAAGTATCTGGGCACATGGATAACATCAGATGGAAGATGCATAACTGAAATAAGAAACAGAATAGGACAGGCAAAAACTGCATTTTATAAAATGAAAAACGTCTTGTGCAATATATCCTTGTCATTGAGAGTTAGAAAAAGAATTCTTGCTTGCCACATACATCCAGTTTTAACATATGGCTGTGACTCCTGGACAATCGGTAGGCAGGCCAAACAATTTCTTGAGGCCTCAGAGATGTGGTTTTACAGAAGAATGCTTAGAATACCTTGAACAGCCAAAAAGAGCAACCAAGAGGTTTTGAAAGAGGCGGGAGCCCGAAGACAACTTATCACAGACATCAGAAGGAGACAGTCATCATTTATCGGCCATGTTATGAGAAGAGAGAAAATAGAACATGTTGTGACCATTGGAAAAATCTGTGGAGGGAGGGATAGAGGAAGACAACGAGAGAAGATGCTTGACAGTCTTGTGGCATGGCAGGGAGGTGTGTCGGCACACGAACTGATACATGCTGCAGGGAATCGCAGATTATGGAAAGGCATGATCGCCCACGCCAGTCTGCAAAGCACCTGATGATGATGATGTTGCTACATTTTTTACAGTCAGGGCATCCCATTTTCTATTCACTCTATATATTGATATCCTTGGAAATTTCCTGTGAAATCTTCAGGTACCTAAAGAGAAAAGTCTGATAGGACTTTCTCAGAGTAAAGTGGACGAGTCATGAGGAGAAGATGTTGTGTCGGTATCAAGTCACCTTTCTTGGATACTGTAATGTATTTGTATATTAGTCTCTTGGTGGGTTAGGTCACTATTTGATTGCACCATGTCAACCCCCCCCCCTTTTCTGGCCAATAGCCACCCAAACTACGAAGATCTGGAAACTGACCAGTAATTCATGTGATTGTGTAGGATGGCAAACTACGACTGTACACGCCAGAGTTCGGAGGAGCAGATGGATCACCACAGTCTGGTGAGATTGATGCAGCGGGGAGTGACGAGAGGTTCTGGCAGATTCTAGAGGCTCAGAGGAAAGGCAAGATGGAAGGTTATTCAGAATGCTACTGGCACTTTTAGTATCGGAACTCTTCACTGGCTGCAGAAGATGGGGACAGTGCGCTTGTGGGAATGCTCCGAGTGCTGTGATGGTTCTTGGATCGACTCAACTCAAATCAACCACGACTACCTCTGTTTATTGCAGTGGCTCACGATGATGGGTGACATTGATATAATTAGGATTTATTGGCTGAAAAAGCGTCAATTTTAGGAATAATAATAATGAATAAGGTGAATACTCCAAATACATTTAATTAACTAACGTTTTCTACCTATGTGGCTAAGTGATCCATTTGTGTAGCTCTCTGAAGGTCGTGGATTAGCTTCACTGATAGTATCGTTTGATTCGCAGACGCAACGTTTACAGATCTGCTTTGGGGGCTCACCCTGTAGAAATTTAGTTCATGCTTTGTTAGATACTCTCGTCGACGGTTGACGTTCTGCGGGAAACAGAAGGAACGGGTCCGAGTCAAAGGGGCTCAATGTAATCAGCTCTGTCATGTTAAACCTATACATTTTTAATACCGTCACTGTTCGTATGGAAACCCTTTGGTGGCTAACCAGGAAGGGGAAAGAGCACGGGGTATAATAGCCGGGTGCAGTGACATCAGTTCATTCATTCTGTCATTCATTCATTCATCGCTCTAAAGCATACATTCTTGATCAACACTACAATTATTCTATCATAAACTTTCCTATTTTTATATATTTTTTTGGGTACGGTGGTGTGTGTGTGTGTGTGTGTGTGTGTGTGCGTGCGTGCGTGCGTGCGTACGTGCGTACGTGTGTGCGTGCGTGTGTGTGTGTGTGTGTGTGGGGGGGGGCTAGGGGGGGGGGGGGGGTGCCTGCGAAATTCATGACAGCTTTATTGTTTATTTCGTTTCCTTGACACCAGGTTCTCTGTGCAGTTTTTTTTTTTTAAATTATTCCCCAATGCGAAACATAATGGTAGTCTTCTATAACATGCTCTGCTAGAATGAATTCATGAAACCTGCTGGTTATGGACTCCCAAGCTACCATCCTCGGTGCTAAGTGCAACCACTTTTCCCGTGTTTCACTTCCTGTTTTTCCGCATGAGTGTACAGCTGGTGGACGCGAAAATTGAAAAGACCTGAGACTCGTGTTATTGCCAGCTTAAAATGGGCAACATGAAATTTACCAGAAATGAAGGTTTGGCTAGTGCGAATTCGAGCATTTATTGAGTGCTAAAGGGTCTATAAAAGTATTGTGCTAGCACCATATATTTTGCTTTACTTTATATTTTGCCCAGAGTGTTTGGAGAAATTATTGTTTGTTGTCTGAAATATTACAGTGATGTACTAAAGCTGCATAGATGCCTGAATTTAGGAGCTCGGCCCCTTTGAACACACCAACACTTGGATGCCAGGGGTTGGTAGGCTGGTCTGCCCCCTACATCATTATTTTGCAAGTGTCTAGGTAGCTCCTCTCTGTACCATCAATAGATGTTCTCTGTAAGATTATTTGTTTGTACATTTCATTTTATTTTGTGTATATTATCATTTCTTTTTCTTGAGCCATTCGGCACAGCATTGTTGTTATTACTATTCTCCTATTATTAATTTTTATATTATTAATAATAATTATTACCACTACGACGACTGTAATCATAACCTTGACATCCTACCCGTTTTGTCTACAACGTTTGTTTTCTTTGTGATAACACCTTTGACAGACCGGGTTTATTTTGCTTAGACAAACCCGGTCTTGTTACCTATGTCATTTTCAAAAATAGGCAATAGATCAAAAGGAGAACAATTAAAAAAATAACATATAAACTATAAAATACCCTGGTGCCTGTGCAGAATAGAGGCAATTAAATGGCTTGATAGACTCGCTATTATTGAGCTTTTGGAGAGATCTACACAGAGTGCAGTGAATCAGGAGGTGAAGAAAATAAGCTGGCGTTGGATAGGTCAGACGATGAGAACAGTGTTATTAAAATGTCATTACCCTGGAGTCCATAGAGACATAGAAATAAAGGTTAAAGTTTGGGGACATACATGCAATAGCAAAGGATAGGACGACTTGGCGTGACTTGGTTGACGGTCATTGCTCCATTAGAGGATAGAGGGACAGAGAAAGAGAGTGGGCCAGTTTCACGGCAATTATGTGATTCTCAAATTCTATTGCAAATCAAGCGCCATAACTGTCTGGGCGCTCTTTCTCTTTATGCTGATATCTGAAATTTTGGCACTACTGCAAGTCGCATCTTAATTGGAAAACCAAGCAAGTTCCTGTTCAGCCTCAAAGCAATCGCCAAGAAATAACATTTATTTAATTCATGCCACACGGTTGATTTTTTAAAATAGTTTAAAACACTCTGAATGCAAAATAATTTATAACTAAATAAACCTCCTCGAATTACGACACATGCGAATTACGCCTATCTGCACTTACTACAACATATAATAAATTATAATTTTTTTTACAGTTAATAAAGAAAGATAAATACACTAGTTGGGTCAAATAGTTCTCGGAACTGATGCAATAACTTAACGCACATAGATTTAATGTTTGTGTTTTGTGTACAATTGTTACGATTCGTTTAAATACAAATAATATTGAAAAATGTAAATTACGCTTACTACCAGTTCGAATTATCGAGATGTTAGTCGAAACGGAACTCAGTCGTAAGTCGAGGAGTCATATAATAGTAATGCATATATGAATTTCAGTTATCTGTTGATCACTTAGGAGAAGATGCGGGTGCCAGTACGTCTGCTTGTATCAGCTGTTACGGTGGCAGCACTGGTGCCGGTATTCCTCTTGTTCTCCGGGAGCTGGCGTTCAAAACCTCACAGAGATTCAGCGTTCTCTAACGGTATGTCACTCATTTGATTACTTTTTGATTTAACCCAGCTCTTAACTCTAATTATTAAACAAGATATTATGGATGTGAATCTGCGGCATGACAAGTCTGCAAGAACAGTCAGTAAAAGGGATGCGGCCAGACAAGCGCACTATGCAGCAAGCCAAGGAATAATAAGTAACCAATTCAGAAATCATGACTTCAGCCCCTACACGTTGCGGAATTTAAAGAAGAGGGGATTCAACCAGTAATGGACTGACTGTTCGATGCAAAATGAGGATAGTTCGCCGACTAACTACCTAACTAACTTCTATGCAATTTTTTTTTAAATTTTTCTGGCTTGCAGCCTGAAAAATTGCGACCAGATGACTCAATGAGTCACTTTTTGGATGAATTCTTGCACGAGCAAAGTCCTCGTAATTCCATTCAACCGTCTATTACAGATGTACTAGGGCACACACACCCTAGTGACTACAAGATAACCTGTACTCCAAAGTGGGTGGGTGAATCATGTATTGGTTACTGAATACGTGATCCCCTCCCTCGCCATTTCCTGTCCTATCCGGTTCATACATAAAACAACTAAATCAAGATTGTCCTTTTAACCTTTCTAATCCTAGCTAGAGTCTTTTACGACATGCGTGTAAAGAGCACTTGGTATTTTATCTTCCACACTCCCCCCCCCCTTCCCCCCTTTCCTATTAACAAATGGACTTCGGTTAAATATGCAAAAAGCAAGCAAACTTTATACAATACTTATGAGCGCACACTATGAGTCCATATATACGCAACATTCTTTTGTCGTATTGCTTTCTGGACGGTCAGGTTTCTTGATACCACTGTCGAAACCAACGCAAGGCGCATGGCCCGTAGCTGGGATCGAACCCGGCACCCCGGCATTACAAAGCGTTTGCATCGACTTGGCCACAGAGCAATGACAAACTACTGGACGTAAATTTGACTAGAAAAACTACAACAGCCAAAAAATAGCTGTGGTTGGTTCTGCAACGTCCTATAAAGGATACGCAACTAACAACATCCATAGTAGAAATTCCTGATGAAATCATTCGCCATGCTCATCACGATAGCTCCACAGTTTGATGTAAAGAAATCCAGAAGAGAATTAGGAAAATAAATTTTCAAAGACATGTTGCAGCCATGACTCTCATACTTCAGAAGAAGATTTTCTACAATCTCATTGTAATCATCAGATTTGTTGTTTCCAAGAAAATCGTCCACCACTGATTTAAATGCTAGCCATGTTGTGTTTCCTTGCTAGGCGACACCAAAGAAATCTCAACGTGACGAACTAGTTGCTAACAGACAGACCATTTTAATGCAGCAATACTAAATGTCAGCTTCATGCAACAGAAATTACATCCAAGCTATTTATAATGTAACAAGATATCTCGCGCAGAGGTGTGAACGGTTAAGATAAAACAGGACGACAGATACAGTTGAAGTTACTGATTAATGAAATTAAAGAAGATTGATTATCCACATCAGAAGTTAATAGGATATCTACTTTGAGACTTTATGTTAAAGGAAAGGGGAAATGAACTAAAATATGTCGTGCCTATAAAAAAAAGGGATGAAACAGAAATCAAAATGTTATTAATCGTTCTAAATCTTTCTTTCAGCTCTTCATATGGGCAGCCATGTTCTCACAACACCATCAGTAAGTATTGTGGTCCATACTGTAAGTGCGGGAGGGTTTTTCATATTAGGCGGCTATTTTATACAGGAGACCCAGAGAGCAGCTAATAACGACTATCATCCACTCATCCATCAATCTACCGAGAGTTATATCGGTTATAACTGTGGTCTGGTTTCTTTCCGCTATTTAAATTAGGTAAGAAATGTTAACAGCACCAAAACGAATGGCTTGGACCTGTACTCTAGTACCTTGTCAGGGTTGTCAGGGGAGAGGGCTGGTATGCACTATACACACTCACACAAATGTTCAGACAAACATGTACAATTATATAATGTATACATACAATGTAGAATGAAGTGGTTTGGCCACTTAGTAAGAATGCAACCGGATCAGATTGCCTATAAGGCCTTTTACAGTAGAACTTTGGGAAGAAAGGCCAGAGGAAGACCCAGGAACAAATGGATAGATGGAGTAGCTGAATACGGCCAGAAGATCCAGAAAACTGTCACTCAAATCACGCGAGAGGCACAAAACAAAAATTTTAAACCACGACACTGGGCTGCAACCCGGTAAAAGTGAAGAAGACAATAGATAGATACATACAATACACGTCTGCACGCCTCCGTGGAAATGCACGTATACGTGTTTGCATACTACTTAGGCATGCAGCAAGTATTCCACGGCAGAGAGAACACAAGAGATGACTTCTGATCATAGGGAAAGACCAAGCGATTTATCTTGGAAGCATTTTATAACGAATATCAACACCTTAATGTCATCTTCATTGACTTTAAGCAGGTCGTTGATAGCTTCCACGAAACATCACTACATGGAATCTTGGAATGTTATAGTACACAAAATTACAAATAATAATCATTAACAGTGCAATGCATAAGGGTTCGGAGTGTGCAGTGCAAATAGAAGATGGTTTAAAACAGCGGTTCTCAACTTGTGGGTTGTAATCCCTGGGAAAAAAAAGGGGGGGGGGGGGTCTGAACGATCCTTTCACAAAGGTTGCATAGGACCATCTGAAAACACATATTCGCTGAAGTTATGAAGTAGCAACAAATGTTGTTGTTGGGGGTAACCACAACACGAGGGTCGCGGCATTAGGAAGGCTGAAAACCACTGATTTAATATCAAAACTGATATGAGAGACCGAGTTGTATTTGATCTCTATGGGCTTTTGTGTGTGTGTGTGTGTGTGTGTGTGTTTGTGGGATGGGCTGCGTGAATTAGGGAGGGTGGTTGGGGTGGAGGGGGTGTTTAACAAAAACTCTGCTTTCGACTTGATAGAGAACAGTTAGAGGATATCGAGTTTGTAAATGTTATCAATTTACTAAGTAAGACCAGAAATGACAAGGAAACAACGATTTTGTAAACATAGCATACAAACTGGTCTATGCATTTAAAAAAAAAAAAAAAAAATTTACTAAAAACATCAAAAACAGACCAAGCGGATGTCACATTGCAAATCAAAGCAATTAAAGAAAAGACCAGTATACTTACGTAGCAAGTTTAATTGCATGAGAAACAAGAGGAATTAAATTATGATACGCATGAGCAAGGCGACAGAAGCTTTTAAACGTTTGAACAAACTCTAAACTCTAAACTGCATAGTTTTAAAACCACATTAAGTATCGTTAATTCCAATATTATTTAACGCTTTACACACGACAGTGAAAGACGGAAAACAACTAAAGATATAGAATTAATGTTCAATGCACTGGAGAACAAAGGTCTGAAAAAAGTTATACACATCTTTTGGGACGAATCAAGAAAGTGAATAAAAAAGAGAAATAACTGCACAACGACCGTTTTATATTAACATGTTTAAGGCAAAAAGAGATGTCGATATATTGGGCTCATCATAAGGACAAGCAGACAGAGCATCACCAAACGGGCCCTAAAATAGAACAAAAATACACCGAGGAACTAAGACGTTCCAGAGACACCCTAAAACGAATGTTTTTTTAAAGAGGTTAAAGGTGTTGGAATGGATTCCATCGATGATACCAAAAGAATTGCGCGCGATAAAATAGAGAACTATAGACTCCGAGCTCTAAGTGACGTTTAACTGCGCAACAAATTGCTGACGACAATGATAATTTATTCGAGACACCATTTCAAAGTATGTTACAACAGTAAAAGTAAGTAAGTAAGGGACCCTTTTCCACGCCTTTAGGCGTTTAGGGCATATAGGGCTAGACCTATATTTTGTTAGACCAATCGGCACAAGATGGGTGATGTGGTCAGCATCACGCCGGCCGCCCTTACTTCCCGGGAATGCACCCGGTACCCACTCTAGGCTGGGTCGACCTGAGAGCCAAGGTGAAAAAAAGTCGTGCTCCGCCAGGGAGCAAACCCACGACCTTCCGATCCGCGGCGAGCGTTTAGCTGCTCGGCCACGGCGAATCCCTATGTTGCAACAGTGGACAATATTAAATGTTACAACAATCTTAACAATCGTACACGCATTACCATCAAATCATTTCTAACCGCCTCACTGATAATAAACATACATCATGTATTCTCAAGGAGCACTCTAGCACCGCCAAGCCTCACTCCCATCCCCGAGTCAGCCCTGAGCAATGGAGAAACCACATTCAGACAAGTTGCCGGAAGTTTGGTTTCATCGCAGAAAAAGACACGTTTGATCCTAGTATACTCAAGAACTCTAAGATTCTGGTGGATGACAACAACAAGGTATTTTGTCTGTGTGGTTTTTAAAAAAATCCTGCCACCTCACACCCCTCATCTAGGATTGCATACTGAAACATTAACATCTACGACTTAAAAGACACCAACTGGATGAAAATCCAACTGAAAGAAATCTTACAAAGACCTTCCAACAGTAAAACACAATTATATTAAGTCACTAGAATGTTACGAAAGAACCCCGTAGTCTAATTTTGAGCTTCTGCGTGAATTATAAACGCTATTGTAACTAACATTTTTTTTTTGGTGGTGGTGGGGGGGGGGGGGGGGGGGGGGGGGGGGGGGGAGGGGTTAATACAATTTCTGGTTTAAAGTAATATCATTCGGAATCATTTAAAAGTCAAAGTATTTTTAACGAGATTCATTTTCACCCATGCATGAACTTATGAAACACCACATAAGAAGCACGAAGCTCGACACTGCATGCACAGCGAAAACCAGCAGGAGTCTATTTAAGGCTTGCATTCGAGAACCAAAGGACAGAGTCGGAAATCATACACTCCAGCTTTAGAGACCGTGTCAAATAACTCAATAATTTTGCCACTGAGAGCACAAGATGAGAAATATTTAAAGCTGTAATAGGGACAGAGTGAGTGAAGCAATAACTGTTTAACAGAAAAAGTTTGTAGTTTCTGAAACACTTGCATGCGAGTACCATAGACAGAGTCGGAAATCATACACTCCAGCTTTAGAGACCGTGTCAAATAACTTAATCATTTGGCCACGGGGAGCACAGGGTGAGAAATATTTAAAGCTTTAATAGGAACAGAGTGAGTGAAGCAATAACTTGTTTAACAGAGAACGTTTAGGGCTCCTGTCTGAAACCAACTGAGAGTAAAGGACCTTTTTTTTCACGCCTTCAAGCCTGTCTTGGAATATAATGCTAGACTGATATTTTATAGAGCAATCTGCACTCAGTGGATGATGTGGTCAACATAACTACAGCCACCTTTACTTTCCTAAGACTTTATCTGGACACCAGAAATTGTCCGTCAGACGATCGGCTGCTCGAGCGGTAAGAACACTGTGCTTTCATTTAGAAGCTGCAGGTTCGAATTCTCAGTAAAACGTTGGATATTTTTTTATGTCAAGGCAAAAAAAAAATCATGATCTACCCATTTCTTGATCAGTGGGCTAGCAATGCGGCCATAGATCCTCAAGCTGTAGACATTTTGTTTCCTTATGTTTCATTGCAAATGAAAATTTTACAGTTATTATTCAAACGACATTGTCAAGTCAGCTTGACATAGAGAGTGAGCTCTGTTGTGCCTTATCCAACATCAAACCAAAAAATAGCAGATATCGTCGAGACAAACAGTATCGATCGTCACATTGATATTTAGACATTAAATTGTGTCGTCCCAGGTAATGCAGGCGTTGTTGGTAATGAAAGAGCTGATAGACTGGCAGGGGCTGCATTAATTGAAGATGGTTGGCCCATGGATCACGCAGACATTGTCATTGCCCTTAGAGAGATGGGTGGTTCTAAGGATTTTGGAAGCACCGTGTCCACATCACTGCTAGGAATACGCGAATTGTGATTAAAGATCGGCACAGCCAAGCATAGGAAGCACATAGGACGCACACGAAGTCTTGTTAACTAAAATAGGCTTCGCACTATTAACCACGCAACGCTGATGAATATGTTGTGAGAGGAATCTGAGCGCCTATAGATGTGTCCGGAGTGCTGTGAAGATAATCTAACTCCTAACTCCGATATTTAGATATTAAATTACCGGTTGTTGGTGATTATTCCTTTAATTTTATTTGACACTATGTTTTATGTGCATGTATTTATCCAAGTAAACATGATGCTGACTCCGAGATCGACCCAGCTTTGAGATGGTACCCGGTATAGTCCTGGGAAGTAGCGGCGGCCGGCGTGATGTTGACGACATCATCAGTCAAGTGTCAAATGGGCTATTGAAACAAAAGTCTAGCGTTATATGCCCAAAAAAGCCGAAGGCGTGGAAAAAGGTCCCTTACCTACTCTTACTTATTTCTCCTAGTTCTTGTCAATAGTGCTTCTTTTTAATCATTTGTTAAGCTAGGTGGAGGAATAATCTGAGTCGTCCTCTTGTAGGATGCAATTTGTCGGTTTTGAAGCCCCAACCTGGCTATTGCCGGGGGCTTTGAATAAAGCTGGGGAACAGATGTGACAATAACGGCTGAAAGTGGTTTCTGGGACCTCTCCACGGGTGATCCTCTCCATGGTATCACCAGGTGTTTATAACTATTGTAATGTCCTAGTTGGGTACAACAAGCAAGAAAGCAAGCTAGGTGGGGGAGGGTCTAAGGGGAGGGGGGTGGGGGGGGGGGGGGGGGGGGGGGGGGGGGGGGTGGGGGGCTTGTCGTATATTCAGTGGGAACACCACCTAAAAAAAGTTTGAAAACCACTGGTCTTTGCATATATGCATCTAGTACCACGTTTTAGCTAACTCAGTAATTTAAAGGGGTTGTTTACATTCAGTCTTGCCATTACCTCTAAGATATACTGACCCTGTATATTGGCCTTACGTCCTTCAAAGGTTAAATCTAACAGCTGTTGGCGTGTGCGGAAGTTATTTACCTTTGATTATACAGGAAGTTAGGTCACGTGATTGTGTGTATCTTGCATAAATATGCATACTTTGGATAGTTCCAATGGAAACAAACCATGGCTTGCAGACGGTTCATGACCTTAGCAAGTGTGCCATAATCTCGCTTCAGGCTATGCCATGACCTTCTCTAGTATAGGTCGTGTTCAGACAACGTCAGCCTGACGTGACGTCACAACCCCCGGGCTAACTATGCGCCACGTTTTCAGTCTGACGTCTCGTTTTTCGGTGTGTTTCCCTTGTGTATCCCCCCCCCCCCCCCCATATTCTATGAATGACTTGAGAAAAGAACCCATTTACTAATAGGGAAAAACTGAGAAAAACATTTTAATATTAATTAATCAGTTTAGCTTTCACAGTTGATAGGATTATAAAATCTAATATAATAATCTAATCTTTTAAGAGTAAGCGAAATATAGAGAACAACATAGAAACAGAAAATTCAGCAAAAACTACTTACATTTTAGCTGGTAAATTTTCAGTATGTATCCAAATAATCCAAATACAATTAGTGAGTGAACATAAACAGCTTGTCCACACAGGATATTAGAAATATTCTTTTTGTTCACCTAGTATATTAGCAATATTCTCATTTTTTTTGCGAATGGGAATCCATTTTGAATTTGTAATACTAAACAAATGATAAAATGTTAACATCAGATATATTATAAGGTATACAATACTAGCAAACGAAAAGAGATCATATGACGTACAGTGTGGTATTGTGTTTCATTCTTACCTTTGAATTGCTGCAACACGAAACCACAACAAATAGAATATAAATCTAAAGTAAATTATAGGAAGAAGTTATTAAATCTATTTCAAGAAAACAGAAATTACAAGTCAATTAAAAGTAAATCACTTGTTAATGTTAATTGGTGACCACCAAAATAAAACCTAACACACACGAAACACACGTGAAAGCCATTTTGCATCAGCCTGAGGAAATGACGTGACCAGATTTGCCTCAAGACCTGTACTACAGAAGGTCATGGCTATGTCTTCCTTGCCTCTCTAAGAAATAAATGTGCGAATTGTTATTAAAACAAACATGTTAGTATTTAAGAAGTTAATTAGTTGACAGATCATCATCATTACACACCGAGGTATTTAGTTTAGAAGTGCTAGGATCCCAACTTCTGCAAATCTCTCAGCTTTTAGAGGTAGATGAGACGTTCTCTTTTGGTTTACGTTTTTCTTTGCCTTCGCGCATAGTACTTCTGTCTACCTCACCATGTTTTTTTTTTTTTTTCGTTTACTTGCTACACAATTTATTACCACTAAAATACGGAAAATGACCATGTTGATCAAGTGTTCAACAGAAACTACTTAGGATATGTGTATACTGAGATATGTAAATGACCTTTCTCCACACGTGTCTTGGCATATAGCGCTAGATGGATATGTTATAGACCATCTGGCACTCGATGGGTGATGTGGTCAACATGACGCCGGTCGTCTTTACTTCTCAATACTTTATCTGGTGCCCATTTTAGGCTGGATGCACCTGAGAGCCAAGGTCACTTTTGACAAATGTCCCGCTCCATTGGGATTAGAACCCACGACCTTCATATTCACATGCGAGTGTCTAGCCGTTAAACTACGGTGGTTTCCGATATCAAGGCGCCTGTTAAGAAAATCTATGTGAAATTTTGGTCTCTGTGTAGATTAACGCGGGACCCCTATGTTGTAGAGCACAGGACCCATAGCGGTAATCGCTTTATGCGCCCTGGGTGTGGTGAAGTCGGACTTGTGACAGCGGGCAGTTCATTTCCTTGCCCTGTTGAAGTCGCAAGGTTGGGAGAGGAGGTTGGGAGAGGAGGTTGGGGGTAAGACGTCGCCAGTGGGTCTATTATTTGTTTCTCAAATGGAGCTCCGCAACCCACAAATGTAAGCATAATAAATAAACATAGTGTAAATAAAGGCTTTTATTAAATTACCTTGGCTCCCAGGTCGACCCAGTCTCAAATGGGTATCAGGTACTGTCCTGGAAAGTAAAGGCGGCCAGCTGGATACTGATCACATCACCCACCAAATGCGATTGGTCTAAAAAATATAGGTCTTGCCCAGTATGCTAAATTCGCCTGGAGGCGTAGAAAATGGTCCTTTACTTTTATAAATGAAGGCAATAGCCAAAGTCGATGGTCGCAAAGCTGTAATAAGTAAAAAAAAAGTAAAGATCCCTTTTCACGCCTTTCAGCGCATCGGGCATATGGGCAGAGCGTCCCATATTTTACAGACCATCAGCACTCTGTGGGTAATGTGATCAGCATTACGCCGGCTGTCTTTACTTTCCCAGGACAGCCCATCCTGGTACCCATTTTAGGCTGGGTCGACCTACGACGTCCCATACCAAGACAAAAATCCACGCAGCCTGCAGTGGGTTTCGATCGCGGTATGCTGGCTTACGAGTCGGACTCGCAACGCCTTAGCCACGGACGCCATTGCAAAGCTGCAATACTGACATTTAAAGTAAGACAAGTAAAGTAAAGGACCTTTTTCACGCCTTTAGACGCATCGGGCATATAGGTAGAGCGTCCCATATTTTTACAGACCAATCGGCACTGGGTGGGTAATGTGGTCAGCATTACGCCGACCGTCTTTACTTCCCCAGGACAGTCATTCTGGTACCCTTTTTAGGCTGGGTCTACTTGCGACGCCTCATACCATGATAAAAATCCACGAGCCGGCACTGGGTTTCGATCGCGGTACGTTGGAATTATGAGTCGGACTCGCAACGCCTAAGCCACGGACGCCACCATGTTAAAAAGTACGTGTGCTATAACAATGGGAGAAAAACAAGTTCATTTCGTCCTAGACTGGAATTCACAGATTGGAGGGGTCAAGTAACAGATTCTATCACAGCCAACTCACCACGCCTTGCTTGGTTACTCATTCTTTTGTTCCTACGCTTGCACTGGCTTTCTTTTCTGTCTGTCTTTCTTTCTGTCTTTCTTTCTTTCTGTCTTTCTTTCTGTCTTTCTTTCTTTCTTTCTTTCTTTCTTTCTTTCTTTCTTTCTTCTTTCTTTCTTTCTTTTCTTTCTTTCTTCTTTCTTTCTTTCTTTCTTTTCTTTCTTTCTTTCTTTCTTTCTTTCTTTCTTCTTTTCTTTCTTTCTTTCTTTCTTTCTTTTCTTTCTTTCTTTCTTTCTTTCTTTCTTTCTTTCTTTCTTTCTTTTCTTTCTTTCTTTCTTTCTTTCTTTCTTCTTTCTTTCTTTCTTTCTTTTTCTTTCTTTCTTTTCTTTCTTTCTTTCTTTCTGTCTGTCTGTCTGTCTGTCTTTCTTTCTTTCTTCTTTTTTCTTTTCTTTCTTTCTTTCTTTCTTTCTTTCTTTCTTTCTTTCTTTCTTTCTTTCTTTCTTTTCTTTCTTTCTTTTCTTTCTTTCTTTCTTTCTTTCTTTTCTTTCTTCTTTCTTTCTTTCTTTCTTTCTTTCTTTCTTTCTTTCTTTTCTTTTCTTTCTTTCTTTCTTTCTTTTCTTTCTTTCTTTCTTTTCTTTCTTTCTTTCTTCTTTCTTTCTTTCTTTCTTTCTTTCTTTCTTTCTTTCCTTCTTTCTTTTTCTTTCTTTCTTTCTTTCTTTCTTTCTTTCTTTCTTTCTTTCTTTCTTTCTTTCTTTCTTTCTTTCTTTCTTTTTTCTTTCTTTCTTTCTTTCCTTCTTTCTTTCTTTCTTTCTTTCTTTTCTTTCTTTCTTTCTTTCTTTATTTCTTTCTTTTCTTTCTTTCTTTCTTTTTCTTTCTTTCTTTCTTTCTTCTTTCTTTCTTTCTTTCTTTCTTTCTTTCTTTCTTTCTTTCTTTCTTTCTTTCTTTCTTTCTTTTTCTTTCTACTTCTTTCTTTTCTTTCTTTCTTTCTTTCTTTCTTTCTTTCTTTCTTTCTTTCTTTCTTTCTTTCTTTTCTTTCTTTTTTTTCTTTCTTTTTTTCTTTCTTTTCTTTCTTTCTTACACTCTTCTTCTTGTTCTTGTTCTTTTTGTTATTTCTACTACTACTACTACTACTACTACTACTACTACTACTACTACTACTACTACTACTACTACTACTACTACTACTACTACTACTACTACTACTACTACTACTACTACTTCTACTACAGCTGCTGTCTGACAATTCTCGGGGTGAAATAACCAGGAAACTGAATCCTGTTTCCTTTGTCAGCTAATTGTCAATGAGATAAAAAAAACACAATAACACGTACAAGTGCACGGCAGAACAACACCGGAAGCTTTTATCTCTCTTGACATCCTTTTTACTAAGTTGAATTCTCATAACGCCTTCCTTTCCCACGACAGCAGCCTCGTTTTAAACTTTAAAAAAAAAAAGTAAACAAAAAACCCATTTTGTTTAGGCTTAGGCACACTTGGCAAATAATGGTGGACTCAAATATCTTTGTTAACTAAGAGGCAACTTAATATAAGGTTGACCACACCACACACTAAGTGTTGCAATATATATATATATATATATATATATATATATATATATATATATATATATATATATATATATATAACTCTTTCGATCCTAGATCATTGTGAATTCAGCGGCATCTCTTGTAACGTTTTTGCAATATAGAGCAACACGTGTTAAGTATCAAAAAGATTAAAAATACAGCTTTAGGAGAGAAGGTGTCAAAGTAGCCATATAAAAATTTAAGAATAAACCTAAGAGAAGAATGGAACAGGAAAAGTAAGAATGTGTACCATATATAGTGTAACCAGTGAACGTATGGTAAGTTCCTGGTGCTGAAATATATATATATAAACACAGACACACACACACACACACACACACATATTCTTCTTCTTCTCTTTCACGGACATTACCTCTTACCCATTATAGACTAGGTCGACCTCATACATTTAGAGATTACACATAAGCTAGCATCTACACATGTCAGCTATACTGACCATTGTGACGTGTCCGTTATTGAAGCCGTGAGCGTTGAGTTCCACCATGTCTCATTTAAGATATATGACTTGTCTCCAGTAATTCACATCATATTTCAACTTTCCGCTGTGAGTTTCGGGAGTCCCTCCTGTGGGACTGGGAGTGGAGGGCGAACCCTTGTCCTTTATTAGGCATATCGAAAAAGGCGACAAATTATGTGTTTGCCGAAATAGGATGAGGGAGTCGCCGTGGTGTAGCGACTAGACGCTCGCGTGCGGATCGGAAGGTCGTGGGTTCGCTCTCTGGCGAAGCCGGACATTTTTTTCACAAAAGACCTTGACTGCCAGGTCGACCCAGCCTTGAGTGGGTACCTGGTGCAGTCCCAGGAAGTAAAGGCGGCCTGCGTGATTCTGGCCACATAACCCCTATTGTACCATTTGGTCTATTAAAACATTGGTCTAGCCCTATATGCCCTATACGTCTTAAGGCGTGGAAAGGGCACCTTTACTTTTTTTTAACGAAATAGGATGCGCTGGGCCGAAAGACGCCAGCATGCCTGTAGACCACATGTACAACTTGCTAACTGCTGTTCTTTTAAGAACGAGGCAGAAGACCAACAATTGTTTGGTTTGGTTGGTTTATACAACGGATCAACATCATAGCACAAGGGTAGTAACCCTAAGTGCTCCGCTCTACTTCTAACTCAAGCCTGAGTCCGAAGAATCTTTGCGCAGTGGACGAACTCCATAGCACAGGCGAGGATCCTGAAAATCCTGAATCTAAGAGTTGTGTTCTCTTTTAACCACATTTGTTGTTCGCCATTCATCTGTATTTTCCCCCAGTCCTACTTCTTTTTACCTTCCTCGACTATGCCACTGTTATCTGACCTTTCATATCACTTATCTTCCTGTCACCACCTATCGATCGTCAGGCAGCACATAGCATATAGATTTATTTTAGCCATGATATGTAAATCTGCATGTTCTTATACCTTCTGAGCCGAAATTTGAAGAAAAAAAAAAAAGTAATTACAAAGTTTTGATGTATGTGTATTTGTGTTAGTGTATCTTTTTGTCTGTATGCTGATAAATGCTGTTTACCGGAACACACATTTTGATCATCACGACTGTACTTTTTAAAGCTGATGAGTTCTGCTTTACATGTTTATCCGTTTATTGATTGCACTTTAGTTGTGCCGTACCACTTCATTTGCTATTTTCTGCACAACGAAAACGTTATACTTTTAATTTCTCGCCATAATTCTGTTATACAGATAAGTTCTATTCCAGCTGTTACTAGTTAAAACCACTCAGTAGAACCCAAAAATTGTAACTCTTAAGGGCAAACATTTCGAGATATACGATTTTGCTTTTATGTAAACTGTTAAAGAAATCAGTTCTCGAATTACCGACATTAGAAATATTATAATTTAGCATTGAGAAGATTCAGCAGGACAGCTCTAAACTGTAAACTTATGCTTGGTTTCCTAACGCTTAAATAATGCCACCTAGCTCCTGAGTGCTTTGCTTATGGTGTTTAACATCTGGGGTCTCATATCTATTGTCATAAACCGATGCCTGATATGCTATCTTTTTTTGCCTCTATCCCTAAAGGGTAAGTTGGCCGGTTGTTTTGATGTTTACAGCCAGGCAGCGATATCTGCGTCTCTCGGCTCGATTTCAACAAACGCCTATTAAATCAGTTTTTACGACTTGCTAATTAGGATAAAGTTGGTATATGGCAAGAGTATGTGTCTAATTTTATACGAAAACGCCGCTGGAACTATGTCGGCCACGCCCTTAGAATGGATAAATCAAGACTTCCTTACCAAGACCTCATTTGGACACCACAGGGGAAAAGATCTCGTGGAAGACCAAGGGAAACCCTGCGTAGAACTATTATCAGGGAAGGCTCGCTCATGGGCCTCTCAAACATCCAAGACCTACAACAGATTGCAACGAACCGCCATGCATGGAGAGTCATGACCTCTGCCCTATGTGCCGCACTCGACACAAGAGGAAAGACTAACTAACTAACTAACTAACTAACTAACTAACTAACTAACTAACTAACTAACTAACTAACTAACTAACTAACTAACTAACTAACTAATTAGGATAAAGTTGGTATATTGGTATCTCCTCCCCATCCTTCACTCCCTTTTTATCTCCACTCCCTCCTAACACCCACGCGGTGACTAATGTTCTAAGTATCACCAGTAATTTATTTTAATTTCTTTTTCAGCTGCTCTACTGTCAGATCCCTAAAGTCGCATCTACAACATGGCGCCGTATCTTCATTGTTCTATCCGGCAAGGCTGACACAAGCGACCCAATGTCCTTGTCTGCAAATGACGTCCATCACAAATTCGACAAGCACTTGACGCACCTCCGTAAATACCAGAACGATGAAATTCTATATCGTCTAAACAATTATTTCAAGTTTGTCTTTGTCAGAGAACCATTTGAGCGCATTCTTTCAGCCTTTAAAAACAAATTTGCAGCAAATACAAACTCATCAATTTACTTCAGAAAAGTGTTCGGTGAGAAAATCATCGACAGATACCGCCAAAATCCACTGGCAAACCCTGGCAGGAATTTGACATTTGAGGAGTTTATCAATTACTTAACAGACCCCCAGAAACAGATTCCTATGAATGAACACTGGGAGAAATATTATAAACTCTGTCATCCATGTTGGATACAATATGATTTCATCGGAAAATTAGAAACACTTGAAGAAGATTCACAGTATATTTTAGAGAAGAATTCCCTTTCCGAGAAAGTAAAAGTGCCTAGTCGGTTGGACTCTAAGTACACTTATAAGAAAACGAACTCATACATGCATGAATATTATTCACAGATTCCTAAAGAAACACTGCAAAAGATCTTCAAGATGTATTACGCCGATTTCGTTATATTTAATTTTACGGTTCCCGATTCAATAAAACTGATGATGGATGGGCACTGAGATGTAAGGCTGTGGGATCATAAATGATAGATGACATAATGTGATAGCAGTTAAATGTGATTAACTAAATAAGAGAAATTGCAGCGTTCTTGTCAAAACGTAGTGGTTGAAGCTGTGCTGTCTTGTCATGATTTGGTTTATAAACAAAGTGACTGATATGTGCTTTGATAGCGTATTTCATAGTGAGCTGGGTTGTACACATAATTGAAGGTGATTTGGCGTTTGTGCATTGGTTTATCAACAGCGTGATATAAGCTTTATAGGCTCACTGCTTTTTGAACCGCCTCATCGTTTGAAAGAGAAAGTTCACAAAAGCTATACAGGGCGTATCCTGACATAGTGGAGCTAATCGCCGACATTTAGCCCATTTGTGAAACAATAGAGAGGTCACCGAGTTGAGGTTTTGTATATAATAGAAGAATGCCGAGATTACCATGGAAATTAAACCGGCGCAAAACGTGTCTTATAAACATGGCGTGTCCTGATATAGTGAAGCTAATCACTGACAATTGACCCAGTTGTGTAGAAACAAGAAATAGAGGAGCCACTGAGTTGTGGTTCTGTATATAATAGGAGTATGGCGAGATTACCATGGAAATTTAAAAATCATAATAAACGAGTCTTAAAAGAAGTTGAATTTCCCATGAGATTGAGTTGCCTGCATCAGAAAGAGAAAATCTACATGTTTCGGATGTTACTTGAAGAGAAAAGTGGATTACGTCGTGACAACTTGAAAACTAGAGGGAAGAGAGGCAGAGGGTGAACACAAATGAAAATTGTTCTTACAATTGAGCATTGTGGGGATTGAAAAACATCTCTACCAGGAATGTTTCACACGTGAAACAGATTGCCAAGAATACGCATAATGACCAATGCAACAAGACATATGCTATTAAAAGAAGAAGCAGAAAAAGGGAAGGAGGAGTAGAAAAAAAAATAAATGATGATGATGATGAAGTGTACTGGCCCAGTATACGCATTTGTGACAAGAGTACTGGAGGGACAAGAGTTCTAGAATGATAAGAGTACTGGTATTTGCACAGTAGTTCTTCAGTTCGAATTTTTAAAAAATGTTTTTATGTGTGTGCGTGTGTGTGCGTGTGTGCGTGTGTGTGTGTGCGTGCGTGTGTGCGTGCGTGCCTGTCTGCCTGCGTGCGTGCGTGCGTGTGTGTGTGTATGTGTGTGTGTGTGGGTTGGTGGGTGGATTGGTGGGTGGATTGGTGGGTGATATTGTGTAGTAAAATTCCATCTCTAAAGCTATGTAATCAGAGAGCATTTGTAGGCGCCTACGTTTATATAATACAATGTAAAACTTGAAAACTTACCTCTGCTGAAACAGCGGAAAGCAATAATTTCTCAGAAGTGAACACTACTCAGAGGACTGAGGTAAAGTTCACAGATCCCGCTAGCTATGAAATACGTGGATCAAATGACATCTGTGGCTGTGGGTTAAACCAAAATGGTGTAACTATCACGGGTGCCCTAGCTACAACTTCTTTGGAGGTTGGTATCTTCTTCTTCTTCTTCTTCTTCTTCTTCTTCTTCTTCTTCTTCTTCTTCTTCTTCTTCTTCTTCTTCTTCTTCTTCTTCTTCTTCCTCTTTTTCTTCTTCTTTTTCGCATTCACTAGCTGTAAATGCTGACGGAAAATTGTGGTTGTTCGTCCACTTCTGGAATGCAGTTCCGTTACAGAACCTGAGTGTTGCGTGTGCATTCGTTTTACATATTTGAATCATTTGTATGCAGACTGTTGGTTCCTTGCCTCTCAGGCGGATGCTCCCAATTAGTCGGCTCTTACGACATGCCTTTGGATAGGCAGTAGGTCTATTCTTGTCTTCCCTGTAATAGGGCCCCAGAACCCATACTGGAAAACCGGGGTATCTGAGATCCACCTGGTTGGTCTGCCATCCATGTGGATACTTTTTTTTTCTCAGGATTGTAGGAAAAACCTTTAGGTATCATCGCAAAGGTGATTTACTGATCGATCGATCGATTTGGTCTCTTGCAAGGGCTTTATTACAAACATAACTAATTTATGACTGCGGTGAAGGAATTAAACAACCGCAACTGTTAGGTTGCAAGAATACTTACGAAATCATCATATGAGGTCGAAGCAGGTATTCGTTCATGTACCCAACTGCTTGGTTCCACTAAGAACAGTGTCCAGGATGTTTCACAAGGTATCCTTGTATGTTTGCTGCATGGCTCAAAGTAGTGATATCACGATTCTTTGTATTCATCCATTCGCAACAGATACAAACTAATAAATGTGTCAGAAACAAAATATACAAACTTGCAGCCCACCATAGCCTCTCTTGGCAGTGGTGAAACGTCACTAGCTAAATTGGTTAGGGCACATGGTGAGACATGATTCCATGTTCAAGAAACATTGGAGGGTAGTCGAAGAATAGGAGGGCAAGAAAAATCATGAATGACAACATCAAGAAATGGACAGGACTAAGTTATCATACACTTATTTGACATAGAAAGACATAGAAAGATGGCAGGTTTTATAAGTATTTGCCTTCATCGATACACCTCCACCACCCTAACAGACCAAGGATTATGTTGTTATTTTTCGCAACAGAGACTCATTATTTTCCGCTTGGCAAGATGACACATGGTTCAAACTCTACCCCTGCGTTCTTCCTTACTTTATGACAACCGAGACTAAAAAGTTCAATGAGTAACCAAAGTTCCTATGCACGGACAGGTCATTTTACAGAGAGCCGCCGTGGTGTATCTGCAAGACGCTCACATGAGGAGTGGAAGGTTCGGGTCCTGAGAAGTCAATTTTTTCTCTTCTAAAATGACTATCAGGTCGACCCAGCCTTGAGTGGATACTAGATACAGTCCTGTGAAATAAAGGCGGCCGGTGTGATGCTGACCAAATTACCCACCCTGTGCCCTATATGCCCAACAAGCCTGAAGGCGTGGGAAAGGGTCCTTTACCTGCATGATGACCACTGTTGCATGCCTACTTACTAACACTATTGATACACCGACATTTCAAGCCTTTGCTCAAAAGCCAGTAGGGTTCCATATGATCATACCTTGTATTTAAGCTTTATAGACTAAGCAAGGTTTAATCTTTCTTTGTCATCTGAAACGGGTTTTAATCCCGGTTGGTCTACATTCTTTAAATGTTTATATTGTTCAGTATGTCCTCTAGTCTCTAATTCCTTTATGTTTCAGTTTATACTAATGGATGTATTAATCCCGTCACAGATAATTAAGTTTTTTTTTTCTTTACAGTAAGATAAAGTAGTTATTATCATTTCACAGAAATGGTACCATACGATATATGACAGTCACTAGAGGGCAGCGACTGGTGATTTTCTTAGCTCACTTCTCTTTGGGAAATCTTGAAGTCATACTCTGAAGATCACTTTTTTTGTACTTTAACCACATGTGGCCTAGTCAGCAAAGGCCATAGGGTAGATTGTGCTCAGAGTTGACTGTATCTCTTTCAGTGTCTGACAATTCTAGTATGCTGGTTTCTGCCCAGAATTTCTTACATTGTCTGATTTTATAATGTTTGTTGTATTTCTTATCTTTAGATACTCAGTTAAACTTGATAGATTGTCTCTCTTTCACTGTCTGGCAATTCTAGTATTCTGGTTTCTGCTCAGATTTTCTTGTATATTCTGATGTTATACTGTCTGTAGTAATTCTTATCTTCAGCTACCCAGTCAAACTTTATAGACTGTTTTAGGAGTGTCTTTGGCGCGTTAATCTCTGAAAAGAGAGGGCGGCGTAAGATTCCATGTAAGCTTTAAACCGCAGCTTATTTTTTTCATGTATATTGGTATAACAGAGGACTTGTATATATTGCATAACTAGTTCTGTTCTTGTGGACATCATAAGTTTTTTTTTTTTTTAATGAAGTTATTTTTTTGGCAGATGATGCTGTCCTGTATGAAGCATAAGATTATTTATAGGCCTAATACTGAATGTAAAAATGGCAGCTGTGTTTTTTATTTCCGTTCCATTCTTAAGTGTCTGCACAAATGAAAGGAGGGTTGATGACTACTCTCCGTCGGTTTGAGTGTGTATCTGTGTTTCCCTTATGATATAATTCTGATTATCTTACCTAGGCAGATGAAGATGCTAGGAAAACAAAAATATTGTTGTTGGTCTCATGCTTTTCTGCTCATATTATCCCTTATCAGATTCCAATCCCCCGTTTTTCTTTTCTGCTGTCACTCTACAGGTTTCCCTTGTGTCGCCTACATCTCTTATTCCATCTACTGTCGATCGAAGAACTGTCCTTGCCAAAGTTCTGAGTGTGTAATTGATGTATTATTAATAATAAAAGACACCAAAAAAAAAAAAAAAAAAAAAAAAACAGTACTGAAATGTTATATCGAGCCTGTTCTGTTGTGTGGCAGTGAATCTTGGAATGTGAGCAAACATATTGAAAAAAGTTTAGAGGCAATAACGAGTAAACATTATACATAATCAGTAAGTTACCGTAAACGAAGTTAGAACGTGAGACTTTCGAATATTTCCATGTTATTGTGAATTATGAGATAATAAATATTTACACTTCTCAACGCTGCCTTTTGATGTTTTAAGTGTGTGTGTGTGTGTGTATATATATATACCAAAGTTGTTGAGTAATCATCATAATGTACACTGCCGATAAGCCTAAACAGTGGTATGTCGAAATCACACCCGACGTTTCATAATCGAGATCAAGTGTATGGGATTGTCCCATCGCTACCATGCAGCCACGCCATTCAGCATCTTCGTGTTTTCATACTGCTCGTAACGCCACCAAGCTTGCGAGCTGTTTCAAGATCATTTCTCTTACTGCTCCGTTCATATAATCTTGAATGTCCACGGGTAAGCGCTTATAAGACGTCAAATCACGATGTATACTGTCATTTTGAAGCTTGGCTTGGTTTGAAAAAAAAAAAAAAGTGTATGTGCGCCATATAAAATGACTAAGCATTACTCGCCACCAAGAAGCTCTAAAAAGAACTCTTGCAGTGTTAAG